TTTGAATCATACTTTCAAGTAGAACATTAGACGTCAATAGGCCCCACTTAGTTTCAAACCAATGCAAAGGTAAATTATACAGCATCATTCATGTTTTCAGTCCAGAGCACTCGACCAAAGTCGTGTCAGACTTCAGCAATGGTAACTTTCGTCCTCACATAGGAGACTCACGTCTTAGGCACTGACTGCTATGATAGAATTGCTTTGTCCAACACAGAATCCTCGAGTCAGACTTATAGAACTGAAAACTTCGCTTTCAAAGGTTAGATCACAGTTAGAATCTAGATCTAGAGAATCTACTTAGTTCTAGTTTTTTTATCTAGCTGATACAGATACAGACTTATCATATAGCGTGTGCACATAAGCAATCGTGCACCCGTATGTGATATGAGAGCAGCTGGTTACTTGGTAACTCACAGACCGTGCTCATGATCATAGAATATGGCTACTAGTGTATTGTCAGCTTGTTAGTAATGTTGCAAAATGGTTATTGTTATTACTTGTTTATAACAAAGTTATAAGTAAAACGCTTTTAACCAACATAGCTTAATTCAATCATGCACATTTAGATTTGAATAAGATGAAGGCAGGAGAGAGCTATGGCTTTCTAACAACGTTAGTCAGTCAGTCAGTTAGTCATATAGTCAGACTGACAAATTTGTGGTTTCGTAGAATTTTTGTTTTAACTCTACCGACTTTTTCAAATGCTTGGGTGGCTTTTCACTCTGGGGTTGGTTTGTTACTACACAATAGTGTGTATAAAGTGTTTATAAAGTTTAGTTTACATGCTGTTTGCAGTGTGTTTAAGATTTTAATTTGTATTGCACGTATTGCCCATCTAGTCCATTCCTACTATAAATACTACCGTACTTATGATGCAAGCAGAACATAAGGAGTGTTAGTTGATCAACAATACTGGAATGTGGATTTTTAAAGTTCGCAGACACGCAAGTTCGTTACCATAATTAAAAATAGGGATATGATAAAATAAGTTTAGTTTCGGAAGTTGAAAAACTAATTTACTAAAGTAAGCAATATCCTTTGATATACGTCAACTTTACGTTTAGATTTAAATTGCTTTGAGTAATTAAAAAAGATACGCCTAACAGTATATATGTCACATACCTTCTTTAAACAAGTTTAAGTAATCACTTAATGTGTATCATACGTTCTGTCGCAGTCATGATTAGATTTTTCGAAAATCTTCAGTATTTTGAATATTTATGGTAAAATGTTACGTTATAAGCTGAAAACTTTTCGATAAAACACGTCTTAATCGAATTTTTCGTTTCATGGAAAAACGTAAACTTTTGTGGAAACTAGAGAACTGGAATCAATATTCATCTGTAAGGAAAACTTGATTGATACGTACATTTAAGAATGTTTATTTTGTTTATCTGTTGAATTTTGCGTAAAGTTACTTGAGGGTTGTCTGCGCTAGCCGTACCTAATTTGGAAGTGATAGAATAGAGGGAAGGCGGCTAGTCAACACCATCCACTGTCAGTTCTTGGGCTACTCTTTTACCAACGAAAAGTTTGTTTGTTATGGATTTCGCGCAAAGCTACACGAGGGCTATCTAAGCTAGCCGTCCCTAATTTAGCAGTGTAAGACTAGAGGGAAGGCAGCTAGTCATCACCACCTACCGCCAACTCTTGGACTACTCTTTTACCAACGAATAGTGGGATTGACTGTCACATTATAACATCCCCACGGCTGAAAGGGCGAGTATGTTTAGTGTGATAGGGATTCGAACCTGCGACCCACAGACTGCGAGTCGAGCGCCCTAACCACCTGGCCATGCCGGGCCTCAACGAAAAGTGGGATTGACTGTAACATTATAATACCGTTCACAGATTGCGAATTCCAACCATCAGGCCGTGTCAAGTCTGCGTTTATGTATTTATTTTTTTATATTTTACATTCATTTATTGACTGTACTTTTACTTTTTCACTCATTATTCAAATGACCAGATATAAGGCATCTTCGATTAATTTGTATTGTTTGTTTTAGCACAAAGCTACACAATATGGTATATGTGCGCTTTCAACGGAGGGGAATCGAACCCCATATTTTATCGCATCCTCTACTAACAAAAGTACAAACAAAAACAATGAAATAAGCCATTAAATAACATATATATTAATAACAAATCTCTCATGATTTGTTAATTCTCAAAGTTATTTAGTGAATTCTCGAGTCTCTTACCTGTTGATTTAAAGGATGGTATTATTAGGTACACACACATGTGTATTTTTAATTATCTTTACCTGTTGATTTAAAGGATGGTATTATTAGGTAAACACAGACGTGTATTTTTAATTCTCTTTACCTGTTGACTTAAAGTATGGTATTATTAGGTAGACACACATGTGTATTTTTAATTATCTTTACCTGTTGATTTAAAGGATGGTATTATTAGGTAGACTCACACGTATATTTTTAATTATCTTTACCTGTTGATTTAAAGATGGTATTATTAGGTAAACACAACGTGTATTTTTAATTATCTTTACCTGTTGATTTAAAGGATAGTATTATTAGGTAGACACACATGTGTATTTTTAATTCTCTTTACCTGTTGACTTAAAGGATGGTATTATTAGGTAGACACACAGGTGTATTTAGATATCTTTACTCGTTGATATTTAAAGGATGGTATTATTAGGTGGACACACAGGTGTATTTAGATATCTTTACTTGTTAATATTTAAAGGATGGTATTATTAGGTAGACACACAGGTGTATTTAGATATCTTTACTTGTTAATATTTAAAGGTACTTATTAGAGAAATGTGCAGAATGGCACCATAGTAGATTCTTTTTGGAGTGGATTTCTGAATATTTTTACCTGTTGATTTAAAACATGGTGCTTATTAGCCAATCATACAAAGCTATACTATAACGGACTTTTGTTTTCTGGATTTCATCTTCTGATAGCTATATCAGAGGTGACAGTGATTTGGCAGTCTTATGTTAGTCTGGCATGAATAAGGCGAATTCATGTTTGTCGAAACAAAGTAGTTTATATTAAAGTGAAACGTACCTACGCCTCGCCGGCCAGACCGGAACGACGGAAGCTCTGGAGCAGAAACGGCCCCATCGCTGTCCTCCTGAGAGTCGTAAGGCAGAGTTTTCTTAACGAAACGGACAGACTGGCGGGGTTGGCGGGGTTCTAGCTCAATAGCACGGGCTCGTGGCAGTGAATTGCTCCGGACTTGGCCAGCTGTTCCCCTAATCGGAGCAGCGCGGCCTAGGCTGTATTGTCTGTATAACATTGAGTCTTTGGAGTTGGTCTGTACCTCAGTATCCGAACAACTTTCCACCACAGATCGCCGTCGTAAAATGCCTGTATGAGGCGGAACATCTCTTTCGTAACGTCGGACTCGACCACGAGGCTGCATCGTGCGCGCCATTCTCAGAGCTGGACGAATTCCTCTTGAAGCATACCGCTCAAGCCACTCTTCTCTTTCAGTAGGAATTTTCTGTTCACTCTCAGTCCTAAGTAGACGTGTAGGTTTACTAGCTAAAAAAGAGCCGTGCTCATCCCAGAGGCGGTGACGGGCAGTTGTGCCTCTTTCTGGCCTCGAAGGCAATAAAGTGTGCGATGCGGACATCTGAGACTTCCTAGCTGTGAGTGATGGTCCAGCGTGAAAAGTATGTACTCTTTGAGCTAAGTTTTCCAGTGTTTTAGGGAAAACTTGTTGCGTCATTGGCTGACGAATGACAACATTCGCTGGCACTTGTTCAACAGCTTCTCTGCTCCAGAGGCGCTCCTCATCTTTAATATCAACGCCTGAGGTTCTGGATACATGCATTCCACGAGGTTGGGAATTGTAAAAAAGAAGATGCTCTTCAGAAGGAAGTCCCTCTCTACCACTCATAGGCCGCTCTATGCCTAACATTTCAGATGACAAGCCCTTATTCCGAACTCTGGATAACTGACCATCTTCATTATTGCTGGTGGAAATGTCGTCTGGACCTTCCTCTTCAACCTCTTTCTTCCATACTACAACAGGTTGACGGATTTCTTCCACCACTCTATGAGACGCGTGTATAGATGCTCTGCCTGAAATTTTAGAGCGAATGGTAAGCACTAATCTGCGTGGAATAGACATAATGATAACAACATCATCCAAACTCATCTGTCTGACGTCTACTAGATTAACAGCCAAGATTTCGTCCCCTACTCTTAAAATTCCGCTATCGTACACAGCACTCTCTAAGGCAATTCTTGATATGAAGACGCCCTCGTTCAACCTAGTGCCGTCCCCTTCTCTAATATACAGGCCTAGAGTCTGGCCTGGGCGTTTGATGATTTCCACAAACTGCACGGTGTGGTTGGAATCAGTGCCGCTGAGATGTTTCTTACTGGTCTCAGCACCCACCCTTCCCAGATTCCGGGGATCCAGAACACGTATAATCATCTCTCCTCGCTTCTCAACAGCTTCAATATTGGCAGCTGTTGTGGCGTCGTATTCATTCTCAACCGCTTCAATCTGACGGAAAATTTCAGTAGATATTCCACTAACCTTCCGGAAGTCACTTTGAACCACCATTTCCGGTATTCTTTGGCGTGACGGGCCAGCTCTTCGAGAACCATCTTCTCCTGCCTCCAGGTCACCTTCCCCCGTCTCCTGAAACACAGATTAGCAGTAAAATACTTTAAATATATTGACTTTTAAGGAATGTTTAGCATCAAAGAGGTTATTTAAAATATATCAAATGAAAGATAAAAAAGCAAAGTTCATGGCATCTAAGGAAAGTTTGTTTTTTGTTTAAGCTCAAAGTTGCACAATTGTGCCATGTGCACTGTGTACACCAGGAAATTCGAACATCGAATTTTAGCATTATAAGCCCTTGAGATTATCGTTGAGCTACCAGAGGATGTGCTTGGAAAGATATGTGGAGAGTACTAACGTTTCCACTCTTCATATCTTTAGACGTGTTTTTATTATAGGTGATTCCATCTAAGCTTGCTCATTACGTTTTCGTAATTTCTTATTTTTTTAAGGACTATTCTAAGACATTTTATTGCCGGTTAAAACAAATCTGACTTACTTAACGCAAATGGAGGGTAGCGGGTTCGAATCCTTGTCACACCAAACATGCTCG